AAAGTGGAGGCTAGATGGATCCCCTTGATGTTGAGATCGAACGTGGTTAGCTACTGGTGTATAGATGTTAATATTGGTGACTGAATTGATGTGTTGTAGGATGCGTCTCCTAAATTGTTGGTATGTCTTACCTATGTACTGAATATTGCAATTGCATGTAATGACATAGATAATTCTAGTGGTACTGCAATTGATAAAATCACGAATAACATATTGTTTGTTAGTTTTAGTGCAAAGAATAGATTTGGCTGGATTAATATATTTGCAAGCCTTACACGACCCACATTTGTAGGTACCCTTCATCTGTGTTAGCCAACTTGGAGCTATGATGGGGGGTTCCAGGTGACTGTGGACAAGGGAATCTCTCAAATTCTTAGGTCTTCGTGCCGTTAGAGTAGGGTGTAAGGTGATATTACTGTATATATTTTTTGCGTTGTTCCTTAATCTGTATTTCGTACACTATTACACATAACTCCACAAATCAGTAAAATATTGTCAGTTGCATTTATTTAATGATAGCATGACATTAATCATACAAAATATCATGTAAGCTTTGAGAACTTGGATAAAAAATATCAGCTATTATTAAATTGCAGAAATATAATTAAGGAGCAGCAAAAATTATTATCAGGTTAGCAAAGTATCTGGGATTTGTATGCCCTTCAAGCACACATTCAGTAGAGTATTACGTGGAGAAATTCCAAGCATTCTACATTAACACTGTCAAAAACAGGAGAGCAAGCTTAATTTATAATGTGTCTCTGCACATTCATTTTCAATAGGAGAAGTCCACTGTGATGTTTTGGTTTAGATATTTGTTGAAAACAATGCTCCCAGCTTTATTTTCTGATGCTTCGGGCTGCTTCTTATTCATCAAAGCAAAACAGCATGCTGGCTACGAAGGCTGCCAAGAGTCTCGCCTATTGATATCTTTCTTACTGCTTATTATCAGTTCAGAAAAATCCCTAGGATAGTAAAATACAAAAAGCAACAGGTTCACTATTACTGTGAAAAGTTCACACTATTGTCACAAACAATATAATACATATTGTCACTCTGTAACAATACGACTCTACATAAGAAAGCACCATGATATCTCTATATAATATATATATATATATATATATAGTGTTCAAGTAGAGATTGTAGCCGTATTAGTCCAGTGATGTAGATGTAAAAAACAGATAAAATTTGTATCTTGCAATACCTTTTTTATTAGACTAACAGAATTTTTTAATGACAAGCGTTCGGGAGAACCTCCCTTTCTCAAGTTTGAAGCATTTCTGAGCAAGACGACACATAGAATTCAACTCAACTTTGAATTCTATTCAATAGTCCAATAAAAAAGTATTACAAGATACAAATTATATCAGTTCTTTTTACATATATATATATATATATATATATATATATATATATATAAATGTGTGTATGCGTTTGTGTGAATATACGTATATATATATATATATATATATATATATATATATATATATATATATATATGTATATATAGAATAGAATAGAATACCTTGTAGGAAAGCACTCACAAGACTTGATTTGGTTCAAAAATAGTGCTTCTTTATTGCAGCAAAAATTTCAAGTACAAAGTGTCAACGTTTCAGTCCCATCTGGACTTTTTTCAAGACATATATATATATATATATAGACACACACAAACACTACCATATGAAACATCTTAATTCTGGAGATATTTTAATAAAACTCAAAACCGAAGACTGAGTTAGTGATAGTGTTGTGTTGGAAATCATGTTTATTTTTAGTGTAGTATAGAGCACTGGGACATAGATATGTTAACATTGGTTGAGATTAGTGAGAGTTACAATCCTTGATGGTTGCTATTTCAGCTGGCACCAATAAAATGGTGCTCATGAGTGTAATGTCCGCTAATCTTTGGAAACACATACACAGTCAAAAATCTGGAATCACTCACTGCTTACATTAGAATCTAGAATTAATCTCATAAAAACCATTAGTTAATGGACCAAACAATGACATGTTACCCTACCAAGCTGCAGTCTTGAAACGTGTGTATGTGTCAATGTATGTGTTTGAAAGATACTCCCAATATGTCACATTGATAGGTCCTCCTTGCTTTGTAATTGTGGAATCAACTCAGTGTGGTGCATGTTAAAGGATATCGCCTGAAATTTTTTCTATTTCTACAACCCTTACTTAATGTTGCTGATGTGTAAAACAAAAAAGCATACTTCACAAATGAAACTGCTTACAATTACAGAATGTTCATGATAATATATATATATATATATATATATATATATATATTTGTTTTTATTTATTGTTTTTTTTATCCCGAGGAAAGCCCCAGACACGGACTGAAACACTGATCCTAATAATCATTTGGCAATAAAGTATTTTGTTTTTAAGCCTGTGAGTGCAGCCTAACTTTTGGATTTCGATTTACCAAGCCCAGGCTTTGACAATCGGCACCATATAAACTTCAGAGCTTGAGTGCAAGGATTGTTCAGCAGATATATATGTCTTCGGTTCACTAAATTTAATTTCTATTAAACAATCCCTTGCCCTAGATATAACTTTACCCCTAACCATAGTTCAAATCTGAGTTCTTACTCCACCTCTAACACTAATCCCAGCCCTAACTCTACCACTAACCTTAACTCCAACTCTAGTTCTAACTCTACCCAGAACCTTAGCACTAATTCTACTTCCAACCCTAAACCTAGCTCTAGCTCTACCACTAACCATAGCTCCAACTCTAGCTCTAACTCTACCCTAAACCTTAGCTTTAACTCAATCCCCCTCCTAGGCTCTAACTGTATCCCAAGCTCTAACTCTACCCCTAACCTTAGCTCTTGCCCTAATCTCAGTTCTACCTCTACTCTTAACCTTAACTCTAGCCCTAATCCCAGTTCTAACCTCTACTCTTAAATTTAGCTCTTGCCCTAAAGGTTGCTAGTCTAGTCCATCTAACTCTACCCTTAAGCTTTGCTCTAACCCTAGCCCCAACTCTAGCTCTAACTTTACCCCTAACCTTGGGTCTTACCCTAATCCCAGTTCTACCTCTACTCTTAACCTTAGCTCTAGCCCTAAATGTTACTAGTCTAGTTTAGCTATAACTCTACTCCAAAACTTTGTTTTAGCCCAAACCCTAGCTCTAACTCTACCCCTAACCTTTGCTCTAAACCCAACCCTAGCTTTAACTCTACTCCTAACTTGAGCTCTAACCCTAACCCTAATTTTACCCCTAACCATAGCGTTAAGCCTAATCCTAACTTTACCAATGACCATATCACAAAGTCTAACCATAGCTCTATCCCTAACCTTAGCTCTCACCCTAACACTACCTGTAACTCTTTCCCTATCCCTCTAACCTTTTTAAAAATATGTAATATAAAACTTATCTGAAACATGTCTTCCCCAGTACACGTTTCACCAAACACCATTATATGTGCTATAAATATGTGCATAAATCTAAAAGTGAAAAAATAATAAAGAAATATAAGTGTAATCTAAATATTGTTAAAACAAATTTCAGAAACATCTTTGTTTTAATATTTTCCAAAACTAATTTGCCATTGTCCAATATCCACATCTAAAAAGCTTATGAATCCTATAATGCATTTTTCTAAAGAGTTTTTATGTGTAATACAGTCACAGTAAACTCACTGTCCCTGACCTGC